GGCGTGGCCATCCCCCTGGGGGGTGATTTCTCACTTTCTGTCTCTCTGTCTCTCTCTGTCTTTCTGGCGAGCGCACAACCCTATAGCAAAAACCTCTCCAAAAAAAAAAAGAAAGAACATTTTATCCTTTATTCATTTAGTTTTAGGTTTTTGCCATAGAGCGTGTACACTCACCACAGAGAGACAGAAGGAAAATGAGCAATCAGCCCCGGGGGGTGGCCTCACTGCCGTCCCTTCTCCTCCAGTCTCCTCTCTGGAGATTCTGGGTACATACAAAGACTCCAGCGTAACTTTCAAGCCGCTGGTCCAGGACTTGAACCCCAGAGTCGGCTGTGTGGGATCCAGCACCTTAACCACCACGCCACCTGCTGGCCCCCAGGGGTGCCCTTTATCTTGCTCGCTGCGCACTGTCCCGAGGCCACAGCACCGTCCTTGGCAGCTGTCACCTAGAGGAGGGTCCCTGGGCTCCAGGGACAGAGCAGCACAGGCAGCGACAGCCAGCCACCAGGAGGGGGCACCCAGCTCTGCTGGGACCTGTCAGACCTGGCGCCGCGGCCTCCCCCGGGAGGAGCTGCTCCTTGGCACCTGCTGGGCGTTGCTGAGGGAGAACTAGACCCCGGTGCGACTGGGTCTGTGCTGCTCAGGAGAGGGTGCAGTCCCGTCACCACACGGCCCTCCATGCTCAACCGCTGGCCCCGGACTGTCCTTTGATTTATTATTGAAGTTTTTGCTGTCGGGGGCATGCACTCCCCAGAGAGAAAAGGAAACTGAGAAAGCGCCCCCCGAGGGGGACGGCCACTCCGCAGTCGTTCCACCCCCCATTCTCCTCTCAGGATTTTGGGGACACGCGTGTGTGCCTGCCATGTTTTTCATGCTGCTGGATTCGGGGCTCTGACCGTGCCGTTGGCCATGTAGGACTTAGCTGCTTCAGCCGTGCCTCAGGCTAGCCCTAAAACCATCTTTTCAGAACCCTGGCTGGGGACCAGCAGATGGCGGAAGGGTTACATCGCTGGACTCTCATGTAAACTATGGTTCGAGTCCTGGACCTAGTGGCTTAAAACATGCCAGGCACATATGTGTGCATGCCCGAAATCCCAAGAAGAGAATGGAGAAGGGGTTGCCGCTCACTTTCTATCTCCCCATCTTTCTCTCTCCCCCCTCTCCCTCCCTCCCTCCTTCTCCCTCTGGCGAGCACATGTACCTTATAGAAGAAAATCTCTCTAAAAAAGAATAAATAATTTTTTTTAAAAAAGGGACCAGCAGTTAGCATAATGGCTATGTCACTGGACTCCCATGTAGTCGACCGCAGTTCGAGTCCCAGACTCGGTGGCTTAAACTCACGCCGGGCGCGTGTGCGTACGTGCCCAAGATCCCGAGATGAGAATGGAGGAGCAGGGATTGCGGTGTGACCATCCCCCCTGGGGGGTGATTTCTCGCTTTCTGTCCTTTCTGGTGAGCGCATGCACCCTATAGCAAAAACCTCTCCCCAAAAATAAATAAATACATAAATAAACCTGGCCGTCCTGTGCAGCCTGGCGTGGGTTGCCATCACCGCAGCCTCGGTTCTTAAACATTTCCTCGGACTTCCAGGCTGTGCTCCTGGCCCTGCCTGTCCGACTTATGCAGCAGCGCAGCTTCTCAGAGAGGCTGGCGTCCACACGGGGCTCCGTTTCCCCTGGTCAGGACGCGCTTCCGCCAGGGACGGAGGAGGCGGATGGAAGCTCCTACACCGTACAGCGTGTGCACATGAGCCCCCAGCCCCACGCCAGAGAGCCCTCAGGAGCCAGTCAGGGCTGTAGGGAAGGGCAGAGAGGGCGTCAGGGGAGATGGGCATGAGGGATGGGGATGGTGGCCCTGCCCACTCCTGCCCCCGGCAGAGTAGCCATCCAGCACCCACCACAAGGCCAAGCTCTGCTCCCAGGACCTTGTCCCTCCTGCCTCGGGCCCTTCCTCCAAGCCCGCCTCCTCCGTTGGGAAGCCCTCCTGCCTCCTAGGGCTCAGGGCTCAGGTGTCTGGACAGGAAGGCACATCCCTGAGCACTTGCTGAGAGGGGGCGGACGTGCACAGGGGGACGGGAGCAGGCCTGGGCAGGGAGCGCCTGCGGAGGGACAGCAGGATGGGGACCGCAAGATGGGGGACGGGGACAGTGATGGGGGACAGGGACAGCAGGACAGGGACAGCAGGATGGGGATGGGGACAGCAAGACAGGGACAGCAGGACAGGGACAGCAGGATGGGGGATGGGGACAGCAGGACAGGGACAGCAGGATGGAGGACGGGGACAGCAGGATGGGGGACGGGGACAGCAGGATGGGGGACAGGGACAGCAGGATGGGGGACAGGGACAGCAGGATGGGGACGGGGACAGCAGGATGGGGGACCAGGACAGCAGTATGGGGGACGGGGACAGCAGGACAGGGACAGCAGGATGGGGAACGGGGACAGCAGGACGGGCCAGCAGGAAGGGGGACAGGGACAGCAGGATGGAGGACAGGGACAGCAGGACGGGGACAGCAGGATGGAGGACGGGGACAGCAGGATGGGGGACGGGGACAGCACCCTGGCAGCAGGGTTGTCTGCGAAGCAAAGACTAAGAATCCTTTAGAAGCCTCTCTGGGGAGGTGACGCCTGCCCGTTGGCTGTCTGGGAGGGTCGCCATGGGCCACAGCCTTAGGGACGACTGACCCCTCACAGCTGTGGAGCAGGAAGTCGATGGTGCCACCGACCAGGCCCAGAGGCCCCTCCGCTGGCTGGGGCCCTGTCCCCGCCGTGGCTCCGTCACCGGCGGGGGCCCCGGGGCCCCCCCCCGGTCCCCCGCGTGCAGCCC